TGTCGATCTGTGAGACCCGTCTTCTATATGGCTCTCTGGGCATTAGGCCTACTTTCATCTGTGCTAGGTGCATCCACAGGTGCGGGGTTGTCGGGCTCGGTCGTACCTGTTGGTGTAGGCGCATTCGTTTCAGCAGGCAGTGGGATTCTTCGTAAGTGAAGTCTATTTCGGTGATAAACTCTTCCGCCCGATTCAACTTCATACGACCGTTGTTGTAACTGACGAGTTATAACTCCCTTTTGCCAACGCTCATGGCCACGCGACCTTGACTTTAGTCTCACCTCTTCACCCTTAGCAAGGGGAGGTAAATCTTTAGCGTGGGAGTTGTAGTCAATCGCTGATGTCCTCTGGTTTTCTTTCAGCGCTTTTCTATGTTTCTGAGGATCGAGAACTTGAGGTTTCAACAGGCTTTTAGCTATAGGCAGCAAGGTTCTGATTCTTCTGTTAAAGAATGCCTGTGATGGGCTAGTACCAGTTTTATTCGGGGTGCTTCTATGATTAAGTAAAGTCATGAACTGATCTTTATTTTTAAGAAATAATGCCTTTACAGTCTTCACGGCTGATTCAGCTTTCCCATTTGATCTGGGATAGTGGGGACTGCTTGTCAAATGGTTGAAACTCCAATCGTTGGCGAATTTTGCGAAGCTGTCCGAAGATAGCTGAGGTCCATTGTCAGAGACCACTGTAGATGGGATGCCATATCTAGCGAAATGGGCTTTAAGTTTTCTTATGACAGTTTCTGAACTAGTGTTCTCTAGATGATCAACTTCGCAGAAGTTACTGTAGTAGTCCACACACACAAGATAGTATTTGCCGTCATGTGTGAATAGATCAACACCAACCCTTTCCCAGGGGTGTGTGGGAACTTCACGTTTCATTAAAGTCTCTTTCTGTTGATTGGGTTGAAAAGCTTGATATATTTCACAAGTTGAAATATAATGCTTTATGTCACCGGTCATTCCTGGCCAGAATAAACTCTCACGAGCTCTTTTTAGACATCCTTCAATGCCTGAGTGTGTAGAATGAACTTCTCTTTTCATTTCTAATCGTAGTGACTTGGGCACTACTACTCTTTCACCTTTGAATATAAGCCCCTCTTGAACTGACATTTCGTCTCTGAAATTATAATAAGGCGTTAGCTGATATGGTGGAAGATGCTTGCCTTCTGGCCAAACTTGATTAATTGTGATTAGAAGTTTTTGAAGCATCCTATCTTTCTCGGTTTCTTCCTTTAGTTTCTGTAGTCTTTCTTCTCCAATTGCTAGAAAACTGGCCATATTTATGAGCTCAAACTCCACATGACTGTTTGCTGATGACTTGATATGAGCTCTTGAAAGTGCATCGGCAAGATACATTTCTTTTCCCTTTTTATAAATTACAGTTATGTCATAGTTTTGTATGCGCAACATCATTCCCTGCAATCTTCGAGGAGCAGCTGAGGTTTAGCCATTATTGCTTCAAGAGGTTTGTGGTCACTTTCAATGGTTTTATGTCGACCAAATGTGTATTGGTGGAACTTATCCAGTGCAAATACAATTGCTAGCATTTCTGTCTCGATTTGTGCGTATCTAGTTTCAGTATCAGTCAAAGATCGACTTGCATAAGCTATGGGTTTACTTTCCTCCATTAAGACAGCGCCAAGACCATTTTGGCTGGAATCACACTGTATGGTCAATTCTTTAAGTGGATTGTAGAATGCTAGCACAGGAGCTTGAGTCACCATAGATTGTATGTCACAGAATGCACTGTCATGTTTTCTCGACCATGACCAAGGGATATCTGTATGAAGTAGCTGCCGAATTGGTTCAATGACGTCGGATAGTTTGGGTAGGAATTTAGCAAGATAGTTCAGAAACCCACAAAAGCGCCGAACTTCATCAACGTTTGTTGGTTTGTTCATTTCTTTAACAGCCTTTACCTTTTCATGATCAATCTTTAAACCATCACTTGTAATTAGATGTCCCAGAAATGTAATTTCTTTCATTTTAATCTCAGCTTTTTCTTTGTTCAGTTTAATTCCCACAGAGCGACATCTCTCAAATAATGCTGTAATATTCTTGTCATGGTCATGGGAAGCTGTTTCCCATGTGTCTCCGGAACCATAAACTATAATATCATCAGCTACAAGACTACAGCTACACCAATCACACCTTCAAGAGCAGCATTTAAATGTTTCTGAAACAGTTCTGAGCTCACAGATGTTCCAAATGGTAATCTTCTCCACTTGTAACGTCCAAAGGGTGTCTGAAAAGTTGTGAGCAAACTCGATGCTTCATCCAGATGCACATGCCAATATGCATTTGCAAGGTCCAGTTTTGAAAACACTTTTGCATTCGATAATCTAGGGAGCAAGTCTTCCATTACTGGAAGGGGAAAACGTTCTCTTTTAAGTGCCTTGTTGAGAGGACGAGGATCTAAACAGATACGGAGTTTTCCAGATTTTTTAGTTGCAATCACCATTCGACTGACCCAGTCAGTAGGTTTATCAACAGGCTCAATGATTCCTTTTTCTGTTAGCAGTTCTAACTCAAACTGTACTTTAACCTGCATAGCTAAAGGTACACTACCAGATGGACATGTAACTGGTGTTATGTCAGGATTCACTTCTAAGTGTACAACACCAGGTAATTTACCCTGCTGATCATCAAATACATCAGAGAACTGTTCAAATATTTTTGTCGATAACCTTGGTAGAGGCTTATCAACACTTTCAACCTTGTCAAGACTTTCAAAAGTATGATAGTTCATTGTAATTAGTCCCATTTTTTCTGACGTTTTCTTCCCTAACAAGGGAATTAAGTCATCTCTCACAACCACGAAATCAACACGATATCTCTTGTTGGTCCTTGGATTTTGTACTACGAGTTGTACCTTTTCAATAGGTATGAGGGTGCTACCGTCATACACACGTAGCTTGTTTAGAGTGGGGCAGATTTGTGCAGATTCAATAAGCTTCTTAGGGATGACATTAACACTGGCACCGAGTCAATCTGACACACAATCTTCTTACCAGTATGATCATTTCAGCTTTTATGATTTTATTGTTTGGTCGACCTTGTACAGCATGCACAGCCTCCTCATTAGAAGATAACGAATAACAATCATCACTGTCTTCATGTACATATTGCAGTTTCTTTTGGTTGCATTGAATGCCGAAATGATTTTTTTTTTACAGTTATTACATATTTTACCCCACGCAGGACACAGTTCCTTTTTGAACGGGTGGTTTTGTCCACAAAATTTACATTTGCGCTGTTTATGAGCAGCATTTTGTTGTAGAATATTTTTGCGAGACGAGACAGCGAACGCCTCATCCTGAGGTGGTGAGGCCTCAGATGTAAACCTACCTGTCTCTAGTACCTGTAGTTCCAAGTCAGCAGCTTCATTTGCCTTGCAGATTTCCATACAAGTCTTGAGTGTTAGTCTATGTTCTTGTAAGAGTTCTTTCTTTGTTCTTGTGTCTCTGATGCCAACCACCATTCGGTCCCTTATTAATGACTCTTCCATGTGGTCACAAAAGTTGCAGGTTTTAGCGAGTGTGCGTAGAGCTAGTAGGTAATCCTCTACGGTTTCTTGTGGCTTCTGCTGTCTGTTGTTGAAAACATATCTTTCATAAGTTTCATTTTTTAAACCAATGAAGTGTTCATCAAATGCACATATGTCTTGAACATTGTGCTTTGGTTTAAAGGTGATACTGTTGTATACTGCCAACGCCTCTGGGCCGATAGTGTGCAAGAACAGTGCTTTGGCATACTCTTCATCTATATCGTTTATTCTCTCGATAGTGCAATAGTTCAGCCACATTTGCTTGAAAAGCTTCCATTCCTCACACCCTTTCTTCACATTTAAAGGAGGTGGAGGGTAAGTTAGTTTTACTTACAGTTTCCATTTTAGAACTTTAAGAAAGCTGCCACCATGTTATATTATCACTATACACACTAACAATACTGATGTTTAAAAGTTACACTCCATTTTTATTAACGTGAAAACAAAGAGAGACTAACCAGCAGAGACTAATACACAGTGAATACACACTACTGACACACTTAAGAATAAACCGTGAACATACTGAACAGTAGTACAAGGGAGACTACATGAAAACAAACACACACACAACATATATTAACATAAATACACATATAAATGTAACAAGCCACAACTTAATGTACTGGTAGATTGCCACAAGTTCCGCTTTGCACATGCGGATTATATGAGTGTGTGTTGTACGGTTTTGTTTCTACTGATCTTGTACACGGGGTACATGCTAAAAACTAGGCGGTACTTCTACTGAAGTTCTTTGAACGTCTCTCTTCAATGGCCTGTTGAGCCTTTCAAGTTTGTACGACTAGAACATTTGTAAAAGTACCTCTCTTACATTGATCTTTCAGTCATCTTTTGGTTTTCATCTTTTTGACAATGTATTGATTGACATTCTAAATATGTTTATTATGTCTGTTATTGTAGATAGTATAGATTTTTGGTGTAGCCAAACTAATTCATTTCTACCTTTGTATTGTTATGCAGTGACATTCATAATAAGGACATGTAAGAAACAACAATTTTTGAAGTGGTACATTATTAGCCTTGCAAGTTTGGGTCCTAACTGTATATAGAATTTTCTCAAATGTTTGAGCCAATAGAAAGAATACAGTACTGCTCAAGCTTCTCAGTGCCTTACCAATGGCACCAAAAATATTTCTTAGATCTACATAGTTATTACGACATGTCTACATTGGAATGTCTAAAGTATCAGAATTATTATAAATCTAAAGCATTATTCTCTGTAGCTTCCTACCAAAACAAAATATTTTGTTATTGTTGATATATTTGTGTTTCCTGGGCAACGACTTGTATTACTTTTATCATCAGCTCAGCAAAATATTTGATTTATTACTTGTACTTGTAGGCTGTATTTTGGAGTCACTTATTGTGTCACTTTACAACTATGTTTATGTGTAACTATTATAACTAGATTAAGAAAACCAATAAAGAAAAAAAAGATTTTTTTTTTAAAATTCTTTCTCATTTATTTTATTTCATAAAAACAAAATGATTGCATTATATTTGTTAAAAATGTGAACTTACAAAAAGCTGTACACATTGTGTAATGTTTAGGGGTTGCATTGAAAGAGCCAATCAAATGCAACAAACAGCTTTCGCTTTTTAAATGCACAAAACAAGTTAATACTGTAGAAAATGTGTCAATCAACGCACAATTCACTTGTGAACAAATTACACACACAGTAACTTTTAAAAAAGAAAAACCCAAAAACTTAATTGCTTTGAAATAAAAGAAAAAACAATTATTAGTAAAAAAAAATTTTTTTTAATTAAATATGAAGACAATAAAACCATACGATCTGTATAATAGTTTTGTAACTACATTCTGTATATATATATATATATTTTGGGAAAGAGGAGGTGGGCAGTTATAGTCCATAGAACATTTCCAGAGACTAGTCAATGAAAGATCTTTACAACAAATCTTCAATAATATACAGCTGTTACTTTCTATTTGTTGACTGAATTATATTTAGATGGTGCTGCTGAAGTAGAACACCTTTAGAGGAGTAAATAATTTATACCCAATTGACCAAAGCTCTCATTATAGTGTGAATGTGTTGTAAAGAATAAAACGTAGGTGCTATTTCTTGTTGTTTTTAGCTAATAGTTTTGAAAATGGTATAAATATTAAATGTCATTATATCATACAACATTTGTATTAGTGAAGTCCCCAGAATCCAATTCATACTGCAAAAAAATGTCAATTTATTTTCTTTACATTTAAACTTCACTTTATTTCTGCTTTACACCAACACATTCATTTATAAAACCAATTGAATACTTTGTCTTCTTTAAAGCTGTGAAAAAACTGATTACATAATTTTTATTATTGTATGAATCAAAAGTAAAGATGACATAGCAATTTTACTGTCACTGAGTGAGTAAGCTAAATAAACAAAAACTATTTTTTTTTTTAAAGAAAGCAAAGATATATAAATTGTTTTAAATGTATATAATTTTAATTTGACAAGACATTTAAAAAGACATTCAAAAGAGCATTTTAAAAATCATCTATTTCTTTCTCAATTCAAAATTTAAATGAGAAATAATTTTAAACCTTTCTTTTTTTCACATGCTTGATTCTAAATGAATATCCAAAATAGATACTGGTTGAAAAAAGACAATAAGAAACAACCCTGTATCTAAAAATAAAACATTTCAATAGCTTACTGGTCACAGTAGCTAATGTTCAAACATGATATGTTCAATTACTCTCTGAGGGGAGAAACTCTGGACACACTAACAATATTTTTGTTTGGTGATGACTCCAGTAGACAATTAGCTCAAAAGTAAATGATTGGAATTAATTTTATTCAACATGCTTTCTTTTCCTGATGTGAAATAATCCATTTGAAAAAAAAAAAAAGGTTAATACGTTTGACATGATAATCAAATGTTGCACTCAAGACAATAGAACGTGGACTATCAATTAGTCAAAACAATAGAACGTGGACTATCAATTAGTCAAGACAATAGAACGTGGACTATCAATTAGTCAAGACAATAGAACGTGGACTATCAATTAGTCAAGACAATAGAATGTGGACTATCAATTAGTCAAGACAATAGAATGTGGACTATCAATTAGTCAAACAATTAACAGGATAAAATATTAATAAATTTATTAAAATTATTAGCTGTGGTTTGAATCAAATTATTATTAAGTACAAATAAAACCTTTTTATTTTTGTTATTAAGCTTCTATTTCATACACCCTCATAAAGAATTTCAAACACTAGACCATTATAAAGATCAAAATTTAAAAAAAATGTTTAAACAAGCACCAATGATTTAAATTTTTCTCTCTTAAATGTTCTGCACAGACTTATCTGACTGTGTCACACTTTCTAACCAGGATTTGAGCTGCTCAATTTGATACTTGACACTTGACTTAGAGGTGCCGCCTGCAGCAGTGTATTGCTCTACTGAGGTGTTGTAATCCCATACTTTGGTGATGTCATCTTCAAACAGTGAACTGCAAAAACACATTTGAACTAAATGTTTCACACGTGTCATTATGCCACTACAAAGTATGCAACAAATACACACCACAGTACATCAAAAGTTATTATTTTTGGCTTCTGGTTCAAAGTAGCAGAGCAACTTGACGTTTGTCTATGAATTCAAAAAGCAAAAGATATGTTGCAAAAAAAAAAAAAAAAAAAAAGCTTTTAAATAATCTAGATGGATATTAGCTTTGCAAAGAATTTTTTTTTATCAAATGTAACATTCGGAGGGGCATGGTGGCTCAGTGATAAAGCACTTGGATTCTGAACCAAGATCTCTCTGGTTTTAATTTTAGTGAAGGCAGGGATTTTGAACTTTGGTATCTTTATGTTGCCTCTGAGTCAACCCAGCTCTGATGGGTAGCTGACATTAGTTCGAGAAAGTAAAGGTGGTTGGTCATTGTGCTAGCTACAGATTACCTTTACATCAGCTGCTCTACAGATGGCAAGCTCTGAAAGGAGTAATTTTTCCCTTCAACTAAACTAGAAACTATACTTACTGTTATATAACAAGGGAAATAAAAGCCATGATAAACTTTAAATCACTAAATATAACATAAGGGAGATAACATGGGTTAGAAATCATACTTACAAGTTTAGTAGAAAAGCTTAAAAATAAATCTCTTTTTTCATGCTCAAGAAGGCCAGATAACAAAGGTTATAAATAGTGGTGAATCTAAAAACATAGCCATGACTTCTAAGGCTAAGACTAAAACAATTACCTGACTGAGTGGAAGTCTTTGTGAGATAACTGAGACACTGAGATGTTCTGCTTCTCAGCCAATGCTACACACAAACCAGCCATGCCATGGGCTTCACGGAAAGGCAACTGTTACACAGGGCAAAATATCCATGTTACATGAGCCACTGTTTTTTTTCTTATAGTAAAGGAAATGTTCTTTTTTATGTTACATTTTATACTTTTACGACTGTGCTAAGTTAAATACATCCACCTTACCCCCTTTCTGACTAGATAGTAAGCAACATCTGTAGCCAACATATCAGGACTTAAAGCTTTCACCATATTGTCAGGATGTATCTGGTAAAGAGGTGCAATAAGCATTTCAGAAATTGGAGATATGTGATAGGTATCTTAAAAGACTTCAATATTTAACATATTGAAGAACTTTGATTATACTTAAGCATAAATGCTACAGAAAAATGCTGGGTATCAGATACCAGGAAATAAAGACAAATGAGTTTGTACTTTTACAAGTCAACACTCTGGCTGGCAAGAAGGAGAAACTACTCAATACTGTGAAGAGATGAAAGCTGAGCTGGTTCGTCATATTGTAAGACATGACTCACTGTCAAAAGTCATCCTTCAAGGTACAGTGGAGGGAGCATAAGAAAGGGTCATGCAAAGAAAAGCTGGCTGGTTAACATAAAATAATAGACCAGCCTCTCTTCATATCCTGCTAAGAACAGCTGCTGACCCGGAAAATTGAGGGATTTGGTTATGCGAACTGTCACAGCACCTCTATGATGAAAGTCAAGGTACAGATGAGATGAGAGACTTAGCAAAAAAACACTATTTACTGAACTACAGAGCTGTTTTGTTTTGAAAAAGTTATAATATATTATTTGGATGGCCCCTGTGCTTGCAGTGCTTCATGAGCAGTAAGAACTTACTAGATAGACAAATTGCTTAGTACATAAATCACAAGCTATTTTCTTTACCATTTCAATTATTAAGTCTATTACAACATAAGGTTCTGTGGTGAAATAGTTAGTATTTGTTTATGTTTGTGTAACGTCGTGAGAATGTGTTCACAACATTGATTTAGTGTGCTACTATCCAAGTCTCTTTCGTCAGTTCATGTGTCGTTCTAGTTTAATAAAGCCTTGTTTTAGGTTACTCTTCAGTGTTCCTTTATTTCTTATTACAATTTATTAAACTAGAAATTTTCAATTCTATGGATCTATGTGTCTCGTGTATCTTATTTGGATTTTCGTTCAACACTATTCTCAGTCTGTAAGTAAAAATTGTAATACAAATGGAGCGTCTATTTAGGCCAAAAGAGCTAGACATAGAGCCTAGCACGCCATCGGCTGCCGAGAAGTGGCTGCACTGGCTCAGAACATTTGAGAATTTCATCTCCTCAGTCTCTCATTGCGAGATTGACAAAAAGAAATTACTTGAAAACTACGTTTCTTCGAGCGTATTTCAGTACATTAGTGAGTGTACAACGTTCGAAGAATCAATCAAAGTTCTACAAAATGTCTACGTGAAACCTAAAAGCGAAATTTTTGCACGGCACATGATAACTCTATGTCGACAAGAGAACGGACAAACCGTTGACTCCTTCCTACTTAAGCTTAAAAGTATGGCCAAAGACTGTGACTTCAAAGCTGTCACCGCTGAAGAACACAGAGATATCTTCGTAAGAGACGCCTTCATTACTGGACTGGCTTCAAACAGTATAAGGCTGCGACTCTTAGAGAAATCTACTCTAACTCTACAGTGTGCCTATGAAGAGGCAAGACAACTTGAATATGCCCATAACCATGCCATGGCGTATAACATCTACTCTGAAACTCCATGTGGAGCCAGCGCCGACGTGGAGAGCCTTTCTCCAACAACAAAACTAGAACACGAGGTGAGTGCGGCGACTAGTAAAAGATGCTTCTTTTGTGGAAACAGCCCACATCAACGCTTTAGATGTCCAGCCCGTGACGCTACATGCAACTTGTGCGGCAAGAGGGGTCATTTCCAGAAAGTCTGTCAATCGACCAAACAGACACTCAAATCTTTAACCTCAGCCATAGTGAAAGCAGATGATGAGACGTCACGGACTACAACCGTTGGATCTTCCTGGGCATCGACACCAGCGTCCGGCCTTACTAAATCTACAATTTCAATACTGGTCAATGGAGTACCATTGAAGGCTCTCGTAGATACGGGGAGCAGTGAAAGCTATATATCTTCTTCAATTGCTAAAAGGTACAAATGGAAATTAGAAATGTCCAGAAACAGAATCTACATGGCCTCTACACATCTTTCTCGCACTACTCACGGACATATTTTCGCCAAAATAAAGTACAAAGACGAACAATACGAAAGTGTGAAGCTCTCACTACTAGACGGACTAGTATCTGATGTAATCTTAGGACTAGATTTCATCAGCCAGCACGAAAAACTGATGATCCCATTTGAGGGAAAACGAAGCACTCTTCAGGTCTGTACGCTCGTAGCTGCACGAGTTGAAGCCCCTCACCTCTTCGCTAATCTTGCTCCTAACTGCCACCCCATAGCCACTAAATCTAGAAAATATTCTTTGCCTGACTCCCAATTCATTCAAACTGAAATCAAGAGACTTCTATCTCATAAAATTATTGAGCCTTCCACGTCCCCGTGGAGAGCTCAAATAATTGTAACAACGAATGAAAGGCACAAAAAGAGAATGGTTATCGACTATAGTCAAACCATCAATCGATTCACTTACCTCGACGCGTACCCCGTGCCAAAAGTTGATGAACTGGTGCAGGAAATATCTAAATACTCAATATACAGTACATTTGACCTCAAAAGCGCTTACCACCAGATACCTATCAGGGATGATGAAAAGCAGTACACCGCGTTCGAGGCTGGCGGAAAGCTTTATCAGTTTTGCCGCATTCCTTTTGGAGTGACAAACGGAGTTGCTGCATTTCAAAGGACAATCAACGCAATAATTGAGAAGGAAGGGCTACAGTATACGTTCGCTTACGTGGATAACGTTACCAACTGCGGACGTGACTCCAGTAGCCACGACCAGAATCTACAGAGATTTCTCAACGCCGCTAAGAAGTACGGTATCACCTTCAACGACGATAAAAGTGCTATTGCGACTAATAAAGTATGCCTCCTAGGTTACGAAATCTCACAAGGGCAATTAAGACCAGACCCCGAAAGATTTCAAGCATTGAGAAATCTACCTCCACCACAAGACATGAAATCACAAAAGCGGGTGATTGGACTACTGTCCTATTATTCTCAATGGATCCCAAATTTCTCTAACAAGATCCATTTATTGGTGAACAACAAAACCTTTCCTCTCCCTGAACAAGAACAGGAAGCTTTAAAACAGCTAAAACATGAACTTGAAAACGCTGTTGTGTCGACGATAGATTATAATCGACCACTAACTGTCGAAACAGATGCCTCTGACATCGCGATCGCCGCCACTCTTAATCAAGACGGCCGTCCTGTCGCCTTCTTTTCAAGAACACTTATTAATAGTGAACGCAGACACTCTGCAGTTGAAAAGGAAGCATACGCTATCGTAGAAGCCCTGAGAAAATGGCAACATTACCTTATCAGTAGACCCTTCACATTGTTTACAGATCAACGCTTAGTGTCTTTTATGTTTGACCAGCAAAACAAGGGCAAGATCAAAAACGAAAAGATACAAAGATGGCGACTGGAGCTTAGTTGTTTCCAATATGACGTCGTATATCGACCCGGGAAACAAAACGCTGCGGCGGATACCTTTTCAAGAAACCACTTTGCGTCA